AAATTGCGGAACCCTTTGGCTGGATTTCTGAGCTTTTGAAGATAGCGCTTCCGGCTAGGCTCAACGCCTTTTCGGTTGTGCTATCCAGCAGTTCTCCTGACTCTAGAGCGGCGCGAGTGAAGGAATGGTCAATGATGCAAGATCAAAATCTCAATTGACTTGATGGAAATATGATCCTTGTGATATCTATATGATATCTTATCAAGTTTTTCTGACTTAGAGAGTCGAATATCGACCCTGTTGTCGAGTTGAAAAAAACGCTCCTGCCGCAAGGAACAGCACCGAAGATCACACTGGCGAAGCGATTTAAATGTTCTTTGCAACTCCGCGGGAAGAAAAGACGCGTTGCTTTAATTGGTCATATGTCGTCATTAGAAGTTTCCAGAAAAATCAACTATAGAATGAATATAGAATAGATATGGGTATGGATCAATACCTATTAATACCATTTTTAGGGGGATGAACATCCATTTACCAGCTATTTTGATGTTCACCAGGGGTACAAGGTTTTGAAATACTGCCATATAGATACGCTGCCAGCACCATGCCAACACCTTTGCCAACCCAAAACTCTCGGAGATGAATGCCAGCTTCGGATGTTTTCCCCATGGGAGTTGACCCAGACCAATGCTGGACAACCCCAAGCCCCAATGAGCTCTTCAAATACATTGCGTACAGCAGAGCATATATGCTGGTTTTAGCTGCATATCCTAATTTCAATATTGTCAAACCATGTTCAACCATCATGTTTGATGGTTAAGACGTATCGGACCTATTGTAACCAGTTAAACAATTACACATAGTCCTAACAGACTAATAGTTAGCCATCATAAGAATAAATGGTGTACATCATATGCATAACCCCTACATACCCTAGAATCCCCCATTTTATTCTTGGATTTGCTTAAGGCATCCAAAAGATTATATTAATGATATTCCCATAGATTCCCTATAGATTCCCCACCATTTCTGGATTTTTCATTGGGATTTTATGCCTGAGGTTGGATCCGTGAAGGTGGCACCTAAGGCGAGATTCGTGGCGTTGAACGGTAGCCATTGGAAAAAAAACAAAAAGGAACGCTGGGAACCATAGATAAACATAGATAAACAGGATGAGTTAAATACGTATCTTTTCGTTTTTTCTTTTTGGCCATGGTGTTGAATCAAGTTCTTGTATTGAACTTATGAAAAACCAACCCATTTTGGACAGTGTTGGAGTTAGTGTACCCGATTTTGATTCATAGCGAGGTGGATATGGTGCGTCACTGGATCTAAATCTTCCCCGCCCAATCACTCACAGTAGTTGATATCACAGGGCAGACAGATGGATAACCATAATACACCTGTTAATAGCGGGATGATTGTTGCTATACGACCGACTTGTTGGTTCATCTCTTTCGCGACTTCTTTCTCAACATTGTCCTGGGTAGAATTCAATGTGGTGAATCCACTTAACAGTTTTTAACACAGGGTGATTTCTGACCAGCTTGCTAAGTTGGGTCAGGCACCTAATGACATGGTCCACATATTCATATTCCCTGCCTCTCCATTTCATCCCAGTACTTCGTGTAGTTCCACTCAATAAGCGAAGAAGAATGGCCATGAATTTAGGGATATGATGGGATATGTGTATATATATATATATTGTATATAATCATATATCATTGTATATATATACACACATATATATACACACTAATTATGTACATATATAATCATATATATATACAGTATATGTGATTACTGCTTTTTTATCCCAACTTCTGTGGGGATTCCGGGATGCCAGTTCGCTGCGGGCCTCACCGCGGTGGCATCTGAGTCCAAACTCGGCATGCAGGCGGCGCCGAGCATTGGAGTAGTGATATTTGGTTAAAGATGATTAAAGGATCTTAAAAGGTTTCATGTTTTGATTTGGGATGATTGTTCTTGGCTATTACAAAATAGACGTGCTGAGTATGCTCGTGTGATGGTTGAGTTATTGGCCAAAAATAGCTAAAAATGAATATAATGGGGATACGAGTTAGCCAACAAATATGGGTGTGTCTGAACATGGGATACCCCAATTCCAGAGAATCATCATAATTAATGTTGTATCCTGATTAGTGTAGGGGGGACCCCCCCTAAAACAATTCAGAGAGCCTCTTTAATGTAGAAATTATCATGAACCCGGGTCTGAATAGTGTGGAAATGAAAAAAAATGATAGATTTCAATTGATTTCAATTTACTTTCAATTGGTCTCAATTTACTTTCAATTGATTTTCAATTGATTTCAATTACTTTCAATTGATTTTAATTTACTTTCAATTGATTTTCAATTGGGTTCAATTTACTTTCAATTGATTTTAATTTACTTTCAATTGATTTTCAATTGATTTCAATTGATTTCAATTTACTTTCAATTGGTCTCAATTTACTTTCAATTGATTTTCAATTGATTTCAATTACTTTCAATTGATTTTAATTTACTTTCAATTGATTTTCAATTGATTTCAATTTACTTTCAATTGATTTTAATTTACTTTCAATTGATTTTCAATTGATTTCAATTACTTTCAATTGATTTCAATTTACTTTCAATTGATTTTCAATTGATTTTAATTTACGTTTAGTTGATTTTCAATTGATTCATCCTATATTTTGGGAAATTAAACATCTTGAGAATTCCAAAAGAATGGAGCTAAGAAAGTAAAAGAGAGAAAAGTCAAAGGAAAGGAAAAGGAATTGTTACTTCCAAAAAAAACTGGACACAATAGAGGACCACCACAACAAACACACTATTGAGGATCAGGGTTGCTCATGGACTACTCCCTTGAAAAATTGTGTGAGTGCTTCTTTTTTTTTGGGTTTTAATAAGGCATCCTATATTTTGGGAAATTAAACATTTTGAGAATTCCAAAAGAATGGAGCTGAGAAAAACAAAGAGAAAAAGTATTAGCACAGGAAAGGAAAAGGAAAGGAGAGAATGATTTTGGAAAAAAAAACATCCAAAAAAAACTGGACACGATAGAGGACCACCACAACAAACACATTATTTAGGATCAATCCTGCTCATGAAAAAACTGAAACAATTGAAATAAACAATTCTTCAGACAACATTTGGACACAATAAAGGACCACCACAACAAACATACAAAATTGAAATAAATTAAACAACAAATTAAAAAATAATTCAAAACAAATTAAAAATAAAAAAAACATGAAAAAAAACTGAAAAACATACACAAAAAAAAATGACACAAAACCGACCCACCCAATCAATTTCCCTGGGTCAGAATACTTTGGAAAAAAATGGCACAAAAGCGACCCACCACACTAATCAGGATACAACATTACTCATATTGTTTCTTCGCACCATTGCAAGGTTGGGGGTATAGCATGGTATAGCTAGCACCTTTCTTCAATAGATCCATATCCAAGAGTAGCAATTTCTATACGTATAGCCGTATAGCTGGTGCATAGCTGACCTCCAACCTTGGCCTGGTCAACAGATGTGAATGGTAGTTCTTTGTTCACCAGAAACGTCGTTAAAATCCTTCCAAACATGGAACTTTCTTCGGATTGTTCTTTTTGTTTTTGCCATGTTCTTGCCATAAATTGCCGAACCTACAGTTGACAAACATCGTTGAAATCATGGTTTCTCTCTAATCAAACAATATCAAACACGGCTTGCTTGAACATGTTGCAGTTCTAATCATTTTCCCACTACCTCCATTGAATTTGGGAATTTCTCACGGCCCAAGGCGTCGCCGCCCAGGCTCGGGGAATTTCTGCTTTGTTCGATCAAAGGGGGATTCAGGTGATGCATCGAGAAAGTTTTTTTTTTTTTTAAATGAATTTTTATGCATCCAAAATGGGCCATGATTGTCTAATCAACACGTTGTATTGTTGTTTTTGTTTTTTATGAAGCAACAAAATGCCGGGAAGGGGTTTGTCTGAGTTTTCAGATCCACCCATAGGGAAAAATAGGAGAGAATCAACAAACCATGGGTATGAAAACAGCGGACTCACCCTCAACGCCATTTCAACAGGTAACTGATGTAATTGATGTAATTGATGGTAATTCGTTGATTTCTTTGGTATTCAGGGTACTGTAGTCCTTTTTCAAACACACCCACATGAAGATGCTTAATCTTGCTTTAGTATGATTGGAAATGAGGTTCCAGTGTTAGACGTAATTATTCATCGTCATTTCAGTTGAATTTGGTTCGTTGTTTTCATACTCAGATTCCGTGCGTAACATGTTTGGTTGGAACTTTGGCAACCACGATTACTTTCTGGTTGTTTGGCTGTTTTGGTTCCAGGAATGTACCAAATTTGTCCCTGTTTGTTCATGGTTTCAGACCTTTTTGATGGATTACCTATATTTATCCAATGAAATGGAAATGATCAGCATACTTTTTGGAGGTTATGTTTTTGTTGCATCATACCTGGGAAAATGAAACCCTCAATGCCCCAGTAATGTAGAAATCCCACTTAGATCAGAGTGTTCCTTTGATGTAAGGTCTGGGTAAAAAAGGCACTCCGCTTGGAAGTGGCGGTGTTTTTCTAGGACGGCACATGAGCCATGGTCAAGTTAGATGGATGGGGTTCAAAACCTACACTGGGAGATGGTCATCAATCCACAAAAAGGGATCTCAGTTGTGTTGGTGTTTTTTTCCCCTCCAGAAGTTCTGGTTGGCAAATCAGAAGAAGAATCTATGGGTCCCTAAAAATGTCCATAGGACAACAGTTGGTGATGTCAATTGGTGTATAGCAACCCCCAAAAAGATGCCGAAGAGTGGCACTCCTAGCTATGTACTTTATTTTTCCAGGTTTCCCAGTGTGTTTTTTGGGGAGTAACAACTACTTGTAGTAACAATTAGTAACAGGTTTCCCACTGGATCATAGATGTATCACTATAATTCATATCTTTTTGGGGGTTACCATACTGCTCAGGCGTTCCATGTCATGACTCATGTTGATCGATCATCGCCCTGGCACGTGTGTGGGAGGTTTCACACCAATGGCCGCTGCACGGTGCAAGGTGCGCCGGGAGAGGGTCATTTTTCAGGACCATCGCGTGGAAGCTGGGCAAGTTTTGGGTTTTGAAATGGTGACAGAAATGACAGATCCCATAGGGCCATGGTCAGAGGATTCATGATGATTCACTGGGATCTGGATCTGAATTTTCGGGGATGAATCAGCTCAATAATTATTTAATTGGTGATGCGACATAATGAACTATATAGGGCTATGAATAGTCAGTAAGCATGGGTGTAAGTAGAAACCCGTTATGATTTGTTGGGGTTCATGAGTGGAATTGAAATGATGATAGGGGACAGAGGTTAATGTCAACGTGTGCAAGTTGCAATGCATGTCTACGGGGGGTTGTCACATATATATATATAATATATATATATATATTATATATACATATATTATATATACATATTGTGTATATATATATATTATAGACATAAATGGTTCACGGGGCATATTTTACTACATAATTACATAGGAGAGAGGACCTACACAATAATTATATGGTACCAAATTGTACTTGACCATGTAAAACACAGGAACATAAGATGTGAAGTGCATCTGTAAGACAAGAACGCCTAAAGTACATTATGAGCAGCTTAGACAAAGGAGAGTAAATTGCAATTTCGGCCTCCAAAATGGATCCCCAAAACTTCAACACAATTCATAGGGAGTGTTGGTCTGACCTCTTCCAATCAAGTGATATTAGTGGAGGACATTTTGCTTGTTAATACAATGCTTACTGCCAACTTACAGACGACAACACATTGAGCTACCAAGCACTTACCCTCCACAGATAATCATCCAGAAGGTATTGACCCCGTTCACGAGCAAAACTGAAGAGTTCCAACCACAGAGTATTATAAAGCTAAAGCTGGTCCGGCTGACTATTAAGCTCCATTCAATGCTGAAGTCCCCAATTTCGATGCTTCAAAGCACATTGTGTTGGTTAAAGTGAGATTTTCCCAATTCTGATACTTCATTCCCATTTCTGTTGGTTTAATGACGTTGAGTCCCTGATAGATAGAGCCTTGAATCCCTAATTTTCCGCTGAGTCAAACCAGGTCCTGGTGGTGGTTCCATGACTGTGGGGCCAGGAGCACGGAAGGGGCCCGAAGACCCATAAGAGCTGTGTGGTTAGCTGTGTGGTAATGACTATTAAGAGACATACATAATCTATATACAGGATAATCATAAATAATCGACATACGTACTATAATCATCTATACTCCATAATATAGCCATCAAAATGAGAATATATCATCGACATAATTGACAAACAGATATAATAGCTGTTAATAGCTAGCAACCTGATGATATTTGTTTGTTATTGATGGTTGTTACTGTTATTACCTATGATGTCTATTATCAATGGTGGATATGATTATATTATATCGATTCAATTACCAGATCAAAAACATGTTATTAACTATTGATACACACTGAGATGACCATTTGCCAAAAATAGTTGACAGAAGTTTTGTACTAGTTGTTGACTATTAGTGTGGACCTAGTGTTTTTTCCTCTTCGTTATGAGGTGGCACGCAACTAAATTCACCAATTCTGCAAGGCAGCGCTAGCAAACCCGCTAGGTTTGCGCTAGTGGTTTTTTCACTCCCATGTTCAAGATTTATCTTTTGTGTTTCTGTCTGCTTGTTATTTCAACATGAAGAAAAGTCATGATGTATCTCTTAGCTCCTTAAACCTAAGGATGTCTTCGTGAATTTCTGTGCTACTCAACAATTTTCTTATATTTTCGAGGTTGTGGCTCAATTTTGCGAATTTGTACGTAATTTTACCTGCTAGATCCCCGCTAGCAATGCGCCAGCAAAAGTTTCAAAAAACGGCTGTGGTTGACCCGTGACGCGGTCGCCACCAAAGAACTTGTAGTTAGTTTGTCCTGTCTGTTTGACACAAGCAACAGTGAGAGCAAAGGCAACGACAAGCCCTGCAGATATTCCAGTTCCACCACTAATCACTAGCAGCGGCACCCACTTCATATAGACGCGCACTAGCATTTACTGCAGGTTTTAGCTACGGCTTCAAACATGAATGTTAAGATTCAGGGTTTCAGATTATTTATTAATAGGTACGTCATGGTTTTAAAGACCCGAATAAGAAGCGGCATGCAAGGAATTGCGATTTATCAACCAAACCAGGAAAAGACATTTTGTCAAACCGTCATATACACATAATAATAACATACAGTATCTATTAGCATCATGATCAATAAAATTGTGTGGGTGATCTGGATAAATCGACCTCATTGGCCGACCGACTTCAGGTGAGTCTTGATGTTCTTTTAGCCAGAGTACTCTGCGCGGTTGGTTGATAATGATATCCACACTTACGTGGTACCGTTTTTAACAAACCGACATTTCATGGGATTGCATAGGATATAGGGGTATAGCATGCATGGCTTATGAGTTTTTGTCTGGACAATTCGAGCGCAACCTCAAATGACCTCAGCTAGCAGCTGACATGTGGAAACCATCCAAAACAATCAAAAACAATAATGCATTTTGTTTGTTTGATCCACTGCAATTTGATAGTTCAAGAAGCCCCACAGAACTATCCCCTGAACAGTTTGTTTCTAAACATAGTCTGCAGAATTTAATCCCCGGCAGAAAGTCAATACGCAGTGGAATGTGTGGAATGCTGTTGGTTCCAAACATCAGGCTAGACAACAAAATAGATACTGTACAAGATTGAGACGTATTGACTGACTGCCGCCCAAACCCACAGTCTACTATTCATTGCAGGAAACCAACAAGGTGCTGCATATCTCTCACTTTTAGATGTCTTGGACATATGTCATTCCAGGTCCAGGTCCATGTCTTTGCATATTATGAAATCATATGAATATGTAGATGTACTGTACCGCCTTCACTAACCGCATTTGCAAAAAAGATGAAATGTGGGATCCACCGCAAGAAAACATTGCCCAATTCGTGGTCTTTGAGTCTGGCTACACGCTATACTGCGATTCTGGGGATTTTTCATTTCGGATCCCTCTTCTGTTTTTTTGAATTGGGCATGATGACTATGATGTTGTGCAGCCTACATTAGGTTTGAAAAGCAGCTTATATGATCACAGTGTGTTCCCTGTGATTCTTGGTAAATCCCCATCCATGTGGTTCAAATCCACATCTTGCCATTGCTGGATCCAGGTTTGACTCCGATTTCAAGCTGATCGCTTTGTTTTTTCTAATTACATGGACCGGTCCATGCCTTCATCAACTATAGTACCCTCTGGTAAATGTTTACATAACTATGGAAAATCACCTTTTTTCATGGGTAAATCCACTACTTCTATGGCCATTTGCAATAGCTATGTGGCTGTTTACCAGAGGGTATATCCCATATCCCATTGAATCACTATAAAATCCCATGAAAATCATGATTTTCCCCATAAATAGTTGATATTAGTTGATTAAATCCCATTAAATCACATTAAATCACTACCAAAATCCCATTAAATCCCATTAAATCACATTAAATCACATTAAATCTATAAAATCACATTAAATCACATTAAATCACTATAAAATCCCATTAAATCCCATTAAATCACTATAAAATCCCATTAAATCACATTAAATCACTATAAAATCCCATTAAATCACATTAAATCACTATAAAATCCCATTAAATCACATTAAATCACTATAAAATCCCATTAAATCACATCAAATCACTATAAAATCCCATTAAATCACATTAAATCACTATAAAATCCCATTAAATCACATTAAATCACTATAAAATCACATTAAATCACATTAAATCACTATAAAATCCCATTAAATCCCATTAAATCACTATAAAATCCCATTAAATCACATTAAATCACTATAAAATCCCATTAAATCACATTAAATCACTATAAAATCCCATTAAATCACATTAAATCACTATAAAATCCCATTAAATCCCATTAAATCACTATAAAATCACATTAAATCACTACAGTGGAATGCTAAAGTCGTGCCTAAAATTTGGAAATCATCGTAAATAGCTGGGGAGCACTTGATTTGAAAAGTCGTGCCTTTTTACTAAAACGCATAGGAATTGCAATGTTTTGTTGGATTTGGTCTTTGGAATAGTTTTTGTTAATAAATCTTGCGTTTAGGTTGTGTTTAGCATAAAGGGTACCTTTTCCATATTGTTAATAAATCTTGCGTTTAGGTTGTGTTTAGCATCAAGAGTACCTTTTCCATATTGTTAATACTTCTTGCGTTTAGGTTGTGTTTAGCATCAAGAGTAACCTTTTCCATACCAAGTCAAACTGGATGTGAGTGCAGCGATGAGTTGGTTTTTCTATCTTTTTCTTTCCAGTGTGCTGCGGCAGCCATTTTCACTTTTCACTGCGTGCTCAACGCGGCATTGTGGCACTTCAGCGTGTTGCTTGAGATGGAGGTGAGAAGGGTCATTGTTGTGTCTTCGTGTCGGTTTTAGTTTCTTATGTGGTTCCACAGGCGGGTGGGCAGAGAGCCTTTCTTGTTATTTTTTGACGTCGTTTGCTACGTCGTTCGGACGTCGTTCGGCACGTCGTGGTTTCAAAAATAGGAAACTTATAGGAGAGGTTGGTTGTTGTGAATCACGGATGGCAGAGCGAAGCCACTGATGGACCGAGAGCAGCAAAGCGAAAAGAGTCAGCAAAGCGAAAAAAGTCAGCGGACCGAAGCGGCAAGTATTTCTCAACCCCAGAAACATGAACGGTAGAATGCAACTGTAGACGGATTTTTTGCGAACATTCCCAAGTGTGGAAACATTCTTCTTATACATACGCGATTCCATGGTGTTTTAATATTTGGGCATGACTTAGGCATGAGTTTCTTGAAACAGCGATTCCATGGTGATTTACTAGCAAGTTTTGACCCAGGCATGAGTTAGGCATGAGTTTGTCGTTTGACTGTATAAAATTCCATTAAATCACATTAAATCACTATAAAATCACATTAAATCACATTAAATCACTATAAAATCCCATTAAATCACATTAAATCACTATAAAATCACATTAAATCACATTAAATCCTGCATGTCACTCCCGGATTCCACGGCTGATGTCACTCCAGGAGCCGGCATGATGTGCCAGGCGCCGGCCGGTGCGGCCGAGGTCCTGGGATGTCATGGGATGTCATGGTGAACACATGAATCATCATATATATTATGTATATGATATATATATATATATTATTCCTCGCTGCAGAGAGAGTCCTCTATGATATATGATATAATTATAATATGTATACATATATATATATATACTATGTATGTATATGATATATTGCAGCACATATTTATATATATATATATATATGATATTTAGCACCCAATGGGACTACACCCATTGGATTTGACTATCACGTTTGGATGGAATAAAGCAACCACAATGGAGCTCCGGTAGTCAGGCCATAGTAAAATTGTCCAGCTGGGATGACGTAATTCTCAAGGCATCATGTTCTGTTCTGTATGTCTACCGACAAGCATATTACTCTGTCTCTGTGATGGAGAATGAACAAATGCTATAGGCATGTTAAAGATCAGGATTAGTTGGTCGTCATCTTGCGACGTATATCATATCGTATAGTATAAGCATCAAAAGAGCGAAGCAGCGAACATCGATGGCGGCCCCAACCAACAAGAAGCTGTACTTTCAATCTGACTTGCATGATTACAGTTCTCTTGGACATTTTGCAGCCCTGTAATGGATCCCTAGGTCTCAAACAGTTTCCACTTCCAACTCATAGAATGTTTTGACATGTTCTAACATGTTTTAACAGAAAGACTTCAAGCAGGTTTGGCTACTATCTCCCAACATCTTGGGATACCAATGCCCAACGTGGGCCAGCCCATCGCTTGCTTCGCGTCAAAACCAACGCCAGATTGGCAGCCCACTTCAAGCATTTAGGACTGGGGGTTGGACCAGCTGGTGACCGGAGCATTCAATAAGATGACAATGAGGAAACTTAATTAATGCCATTTGACTCTTGCAGGATGTAGTCAGTTTACTTAGCTAAAATTGTCTTGCACCTTCTCTTACACGGTCCATGATTCATCATGATTCACTTTTCTCACTTTTCGGGTTTGGATCATTCAAATTTGAAGATGGGTGGTTTTCCAATTGGGAACCTCTTCGAAGACAGAATCCAGCGTGCTCAGACTGAAACTCGACTGGTTTATTATGAATTGGTTGTGAACATTTTGTGTACAGGTGATGTGCGGCAACGTAGAAGGATGTTCGAAGAAATTTCGGAATATACAGAGTGCTTTGACTTAGTCGATGGACAAAGATGCTTCAAAATAACATGATCAGGAGTTCGAATGATGTCAACATAGATATTTATATTTAATTATCTATTACTGTAAATCCGATTTTTTGGTAGTTACATATCAATTTTTCATGGTCAAATCCCATTCTCCCCAATATTCCCCAATGATTTTTTTCCTGTCGTCATTCCTGCATAGACCTTGCTGAAGTTCATTTGGAATGCGAGGACAACCAGCCCAAACAAGACTGCGGCGGTTGTCTCGCCGGTGCCTTTGTTAGCAACTAACTAGGCGGTTTTTTGAAGCGGCCCTAAATCAGAAATGTGAGTGTAGTGGTCAAAAATGTGTACCCAAAATTTAATATCCAAAAAAGTATCCCACAATCCCAATGATTTTTTACCCCCAATATCCCACAATAAAAATCTTTTCAACCTCCAAAATCATGGCCGTCGCTTGTGTTCAAGGTGTGTTTAAAAGCTTGTGGCATGAGTGATTGTAAGTTAAGTCCCTACATTTTATGATTGGATTATTTCGGATCCGCGATATTTATGGTTCCCCCAATTCAGAAGTCGTTATAGTCACTATAGTCGATGTTTGGGAACAGAAAGCTCAGCTTCGCACCGTGTTATTTTTGTGCTTTTAAAGTCTAGCGTGTTGTCGTCGTGTCACGACTGGGCGTGTGGCGGCTGCCTGCCTCCAACTAAAAGTGGGTCACCAGCATCAGCGACACTGTCCTTCTCGTCAACATCATGGTGATCACTAGGAAACAAGTTTGGACGGACATTGTTTGGTCATAGGAGTATGCAACTATGAGTGCGTGAGTGCATTGATTGGACTTCAAATGTGACTGTAGTATTTCTTTAACGATATGTTCGTTTGTACAAGCGGTTCTTGTCTACCAAGCTGACCATATTTGTTGTTGGAATACCCGATTTTCATTTGTTGTTCAACAAAACCCACACCTTTTGAGTGATTGCTGCTATCATGAGAATCTAGGAATATCATGGGATATAATGACGAACCATACAGGGTGGAATACATATGGGTTTGTCAAAAACATTCAAAAACTAGATGGCTGGCGAAACGGCCCTCCCAATCGTCAGGTTTAGCACCGATCACCCATGTTCACTGGTTACCCAAAGCGGCAGAGTGGATGTACATCTCGTTGCCGATGGCAAACAACTGGGTAACCGATGACAACTGGTTAGATTACTTTAGTACTTTCAATCTGTTGCATTCTTTTGCTATCAATGATCAAATGTACTAATCAGCATTTTTTTTTGCCAGGTATCTAAGATTCACCATGAAAACAGGTATAAGTGAGATGAACACACCCGAATAATCCCAAATATACCACCATCCTCAATATATACCTGGGTTTGCTTAATGGTGTTTCTTTTTTCCCCCGATGGGAAATCCATAATTTGGTGAATTCATAGTTTTTGTTGATGCTTTTGTTTGGGTAGGCCCTTCAAGCAAATCCAGGTATATATATGGCTATCTATATATATATATCCTCTATCCTCATATAATATCATATATATATATCCCGATTGTATCCCACTATGGTGGGTCTTGCACCTGCTATATGGTTTTAACCCTCTAGCCTCTGTATGTTTGGCTGCTTATCTCAGCCATGCCAGATGCTGATGACTCGCACTCTACAGGTGGACGAAGTGTGGATAGTCCAGGTATAAGTGATGCTATAAGATGTTAGAAGATGTTATGAGGGTTATAGTATGTTATAGTATCGGAACGGCTAGTATCTTTGGGATGGTTCCTTGAGACAGCTCTCCAACTTATATGGTGATGCGACCCACTTACGATTCCGGGGGCATCCCCGAGTAGGCTTTGCGCATTTCATTATGTTCCATTATGTTTTGAAACATGTTTCGACTGATTTCACGCAAAGTCTTGCTTCGGGTAATTGCTGAACCATAGTGTACCTGGTTCTGCCGTAAGGGCATGTTTTGATTGGGGCTGATTAGGGCCAGGCCCTTCCATTTGATGCCCAACATCACGATCAAACTTTACATACCTCAAACGACTTCTTGTGGCTTGTTTTTTTCTCCAACATGAGACACTGGTGGATTCCGAAAAAAAACGCCCAAAAGCGTCAGACCCAGCCACTATCCAGCTGTAAGTTCCTCATCTAGACACAGCCTTGGCCTATGCACACCACCAACACACCCTGAAGGTTTATCAATCAGAGACAGGAGGAACCAAGGGACTTCAATCAAAAACAAGAGTCTCACAGGTAAAGTAACATAAGCTCTTTCTCATGCCACAAGAAGAGTCAAACAAATTTTCCACAACTCATAATTTCATCCATATCTTTATCCGTTATCCCAAGTATGTCCAAATCATCAATTCTGTCATACGGAACCATCCTGGATTTCGCGAATTGCCGAACACCCAGCCGCTAGGCTCCCCCGGTGCCGCAGCATGCTGTGGCAGCGGTGGCAGCACAGACGATGCCGCAGGGGATCGGAACCATTCCAGGGATGCTCCCCGCGCGTGTGATGACCCAGGCGGGGGTTGGAGTGGATGAATTTAAGCTGATATCGTAGACATTTTTTGATGCGATCCTGAAAATGACAAGGCAACATGATTTTGAGCGAACATGAAAATGACATGGATGGTTGAGGATTTTTATTGGTGGACACTGAAATGCTTTCCCATCGTGGAATCTTCATCTTTTCGAAGATGTGGGCTCTTCGGGGCATGCCAGTCACCTCAGTCACCGTTGTGACCTCAGCGGCTCATCATGGTTGCAAGTTTCAGCTACTTTCCCATTAGTGAATTATCATGAATTACTGTGTTATATTGGATTAAATCATATTAAAAATTGTATATGATTATTATGATTAAATCATATTAAAAATTGGATCAATTATTGGACTCTCCATGATTCCGCCCATTTCTCTCCTTGATCTTCAATATATATAACAGATTCCCATCTCATTGATCTATTATGTGTGAAAGAATCAGGATACACCATGCCATGTTTTTTCGGTGGTCAGGCGGCCTCTCCAGGTGGGGGTGAGCCCAGGAAATCACAACCGGACCGTGGAGTCGTGGCGAAGTTTGGCCCCACCGAATCAATGAGTTGGAGGATGACATGCTTTGATCATTTTTGATCATTCTTGATGATTTTTGAACATGTTTGTCTTCCTGGTTGATGTTGGACATGTTGGACGCGGAATGACATCCCCATGAAATCGGCCATTTTTGTCACGTGAAATCCATCATTGTTCATAATTGTTCCATATGTTTGTTCACCATGCCTTTACCATTTCCCATCCATTTCCGTTTTTTCCCCTCTTTTTTCCTCCACCTCACTGAGGCATTAACATGGCTCCCGGCGTCTGCGTCGGCGGAGCCTCTCCTCCCATGGCACTGCGCAACTGTCGCACTGTGGGGGGAACCCAGAGGGGATGATAGAAACTGGGGATTTGATGATGATATCCTCTATTAATCTATAATATAGTAGATATAATATATAATATACATAATATAAAACATATATATATATATTATAAATTGATATACGTATCATTAATGGATTTAACTACCAAAGATCTAGTCGAGCAGCAATTGGAGGACTTAACCAATCACGGTGTCTATATACGGAGGTTTCTTAAAATGGTGGATTTCCATTTCACCATGACTTTCAATACTAAAATGGTCTAATGACTTGGATTATTTGGGGGTGCCCCCATTTTAGGTAACCTCCTTATCCTCAGATAATTTCAAGAGTTTGCTATGGTTTAGACAACCCATTTCGTTCGATCATTTACCTACTAAGCCTTTAAAATCGTGATGTGATATCGATTGTTCATGGTTAAATCCGTAACCGTGATGTTCATATCTTCATTTTTGATGGTAAACCCCAATTCTTGATGGTAGAATCACCAATTTGTTCATGCTTACAGAAATCTCCGTTGTTGATGTTTCAACATGGTATAAAATCAACATTTTTCATGCTTAAATCTCCATTTTTCATGGTCAAATCAGCCTCACTCCAAGGCCAGTGACTTGACGCGTCCGATGGCATCGTTTCCTCACGCGAGGGGTTGAGATGTTCCTCGTCAGATGCCAATAGATCATCATACAGTAAGACTCGTTGATGCTTATGTTCACATATTAGTACAGTATATATATACAATATGTATATATATATATTTATATTTGCGTTCATTTCCTGAAAATGGAATGTGATCCCCAGTAGACTTGTTTTTCATTCAATAGGGTATATGTGTAAACCAGCAATGGGAAAAGGTGCTGCAAATGGCGCACATTTTGGGGATGTGTCAACAAAAAAAAAGTAGTGTCACAAGCAACAACATAAAATCCCAAACAACCACCACAAGCTAAATGCCGACTATTCCGTTCTTTTTTTGGATGTGAGCTACACGATACCACGGTTTTGTGGGTTGGTTGTGATCCCTTTCACGCATGGAATAAGTTTCCAAAGAAAAAGATCTTCAAAACTGGGTCGGGAAATTTCGGGTGAAGTCGACACGATGTCCGGATTCCTCATCTTTGAGTATCCCGGCAGCGTCCGAGGTAGACCGTGTTTTTTTTGGTCCCTGTCCCTTTGACTCAGGGAGGTGGGTTGATGACTACAGTACCATAAGATGGGACCCTTAGCTTAAGTTGATGTATCAATAGTTTGACATACTTTAACTTTGACATACTTTGACTATATAGGCTTGATTGTGATTATCTACAGTAGTTCGGTGGGTGAACAGAATCCAATTTATGGGGCAGGGCACTAATCCGGGCGAGAATATTACATGTGAATCCTGGATGTAGACTCCCTGGATACCCCCAAAAAGTTGTGTCGCTTGCTGCCAAATGGTACCTGAATGTTAAAAGCAGCCCCAATGCTCATCATCCGGGGTTGATTTTCCAGTGGTATGGAGCCATTGTCACATACCTGCCGTTTTTCTTGGTCTTGGTAAAGTGGAGTAGAAGCTATTTGTGATTGGGACAACATGGGTGAAGGTTGATGAGCCATGTATTTGTTGGGGCTGAATTCACCAGCGAGCTGTTTGATTGAACATTTATGGAAAAAGACCACAATCTCATTCACCATCAATTTAGAGTAACCATACATTCAGGCTAGTGGACTCAAATTGAAACGGCAGGAAACTCTCATGAAACTCTCTTTTTTGACTAGAGACATCCTTATTTGCAGGCTCTATTCATGGATGGTGTCACAAAGACTTCAATTGACAGCGCTTTAGGTGCCCAAGCTTTAGATATATTTTAGACATCTGCCCTCAACGATATTACTGTGATATTACTTTTGCGGACACTTTGTTGTTTTTCATTTCAGCATTGGGGGACAGTTTCCCTTTGCATCATTTTGCCACTTCCAGTTGCAGACTTTGAGCAATGCTCAGGCCAGACCCTTGCTGGTTGAATCCTGGTTTACACTAACTGGTTTCATGGTGTCTCTTCTGCTCCATAATACGGAAATCAACCAATAGTTGCAGGGATGGTAGAAACCTTTGGGCACTGCTCAATCTGCATCGGTCATTAATCATGTAGTCTGGCAACATCTTAAAAATCCTAAGCCATTTCGATCAGCTTACACGCCAGTTACACTTATATTATATAAACTGCAGTGCCAACCACAATCTGTTCATCACATTATACAGCCCATAAGGTCTATAGATTGCATCAGGAATTAAGTTATCTAAATGATTAGTTATATATCATATATCCATTATACCCCCCATTATTTTCCCATGAGCATACCCATTGCATGGTTACTATGTGTTTCTTTGGGCAGTTATATATCGCACGTGTCGCCTGCCAAGGTATGCCTATGCGAAAATGTCTTCTCCGGGCGTCGTCCTAACGGGTGTGGACAAGGTTTGGGACCAGTGAAAGATCTCCTTACGGACCGGCGTGTCATTTTACATCATCCCAAATAAGGGCTATGGTATACCACATTATACCACGTAAGTGGGTAATTTCACCATTTGCGATCTGGAACATCACTAGTTTTAATAGGTAAATCATCATACATCATCCATTTATGGGCTACTTTTAAGTCAGCAAACTGTCACATGGGTTTGTTTAGTCGGTGATTTGTTGACTTTCCCAACGGAAATAATTACAGCATTTGGGGAATCTATGGGTGATATTTTATTTTTTGGGGCCTTAAGCAAATCTGAGAAACCCAAATTGGGGACGGTTGATTGGTGGGTTTGGCACATTTCTCTACTCTTGTTGCTTGGACACGTTTTTGGAACTGCTGAATAATACTCGACCAGAGAAAGGTTATGTTCATGGGGGATTGAAATTCAAGAGTTGTTCCCTGATATCTCCCTTCAGACCCTTGTCACATGCCTGGAAGTTTGATGGCCCGGCCGGGCACCATGATGGACTAATGCCCTAAGCAGGGCTTGTCTCAAATAGGACCAATTTGACTTCAACTGGCCGTGCAGATCAGTGGTTACAAGGTGGGACCCCCAAACGTGATGTTTGTTGGTTTATAATCCCATATAAACATATAAACCCCATGAATACTGTCGTTATATATTTGTAGTTATATAAGCCATAAACCCTGGTGTGGCTGTTGGAATGCCCCTCCTTGGTTTTTCAGATGGCCAGTTGAACTGAGACACGCCCTGCCGGCGGCCACCCGTGTCGCTACCCGGGTCGCCTGTGCAGAGTTGCAAGGGAGCTGTAATGGACATCTCGACAAAAACATACTAAAAACATCTAAAACCCACCATGGACTATGCTACCCGCATATATTAAATAACCCATACATTGCTGGGGATAGTCCACATACGACTGGGTTATACTGTGGTATCTATAGAGATATAGTTATATTAGTTATTAAATGTTATTAACCACTTACGTTGTAAGGAAATGATTCACAACTTGCGGGATTTGAGATGGGTGAGACTGGTTTAGGGCTGGTTTAGGGCCAGCTCCATAGCATAGGACCACAATCTCCTGGAGAAAATGTGATCAACAGCTGATCACTCTTGGAATCTTAAATGGTTGCCTCCTGAAAAACCACTTGGCTGAGGATAGAGACATCAATCGGTTTTCCGATCCAGTGATTGGATGGGTTTGGAACACAGCCTCTCTGCACAGATCGGCCCTGCAAAATGACCGTGGAATACCCAAAATGGTGCCCTGGGCAGGGCACGCCATTGGCCGTTTCAATACTCGGCTGATTCTAGGTCTGCTTGGATGGTGCCAGGGTGACTAAAAGGTGGCGATTGCCACAATTCACAAAAAGAAATCCAATGGAATCCAATGGAGAAAAATGTGATGGATGACATCTAGTCAGCACTAGGATTGTTTTTCCATATTTAAGCGTTTGTCTGAAAATAGGGTACCATGATGAGGTACCTCCAATTCCAATGGATCACGACTATCCCCATGAAAATGACGTCACTTGGATTACACGATTCTCAGAGAAACCCATTTGCAGACAGAATATTCTGGGTAAACATGGGTAAACTATAACGACGCCACTGCGACCTCACTGGAATAATGATGAATAATGATTCGTACTGGGAATTACTCAATAGAGCCACACTTTTCGGGTTAGTGAATTATTATCATTTGCAGACAGAATCTTCCTCTCATTTCACCCACCCTGGTGGCGATCTGTGCGCGCAAAAGTCGAGTAGCTCTCAGTTCGGTGACGGTTGGCGTTTTTTCTCCTCGGAATCCACTGGTTTTCATAAGCCACTTATTATCCACATGATATTCATTGATATTCTACATTAGGGAAGATTGAGAAATCACCCAGAATAACTATAGGAACTGCTATGTGATCAATGGCATCCGGCTGTCCTAGGATTCCAACCCAGCAGCCCCAAAAACCCGTGGATGCCATTGTTTGATGTATGTTGTTGTTACTTTTCCAACGATTCGTTGGGTCAATTTTAGTTATTTCGGTGGTAAATGATGGTAAATGATGGTAAATGCTCAGGAGTTTTATCGTAAGGATTCCCACGCAACATTGTAGAATATTTTTTTAGTTTGTTGCCAGTTAGAAACTAGTCACGAAACCTCCATTTGTAGGGGATTTTCCAGCCACTCACCTTTGATTACCAGGTGGGTAATTTGATTTCTCCGTAAAATTGCCCTGTATGGATTCCAACGAGAAACTGCTTCACGACGACCGGCACTGGATGTCGTTTTTCGGCGCTGCCATTGGTGGTCTGAGAAAGTATGGAGAATTTGCAGGAAATCTCTAGAAAAACAGGGCAAACACCGTGGTTTCCTACAGAGTATACCTTAAACCAATCCATTGATATGAGGAATCCCTGATTTGTGGTTTTATTTAGTGCCATCCCTACCCAAGATGATACTTAAATTAATTCATTTACCAAAATCAAAGCACGACGCAGATGGGATGAGTGACATCCAGGATGTCTGTGATCAAATCCATTCCCAGCCATGATGCTGTCCAGGATACATTAGGGATACCTAATGGGTACACATGGGTTTGTCTGAAAATAGGGTATATTCCCAATGAAATAGCCATTTAATAGGGATAATGATCAGCAAAACCATTGGGTTTAGGGGTACACTATTTTCAGACACACCCACATTTGTATCACAATGACTCGTTGTGGAACCAATGATTTTATCCTCCACAAATTTCACCCCATAGGTGCTGGAAAATCACCCATTTGTGGACCACTATGTAAAGTGGTCATGGGTCAGGACGACTAGCTGTCAATCCCGTGTTCAGCACCTGGTAAATGAGATGTTCATTCCCTCTCAGTGGTTGAATGGTTTTTGTGGTTGAATGATTTTGTCGATTTTGCCAGAAATCGTCACTTTTAATGACCGGTGGTAAGATTTTTCTGTTCCCCTAAACAAACCCGGTGATTGAGATAGATTTATACATTCTCAGGCGAAAAACTGAGCAAGCAAATTTTGACACTTGCTTTCGGCTGTGTCCCGAAAAAGAAATCTCGCTTGCCTTTATGAATTGGAGTGAGGTTTCGTTCTGGAAGCTGGTAGCTACCACAAGGAATGGTGGTGAACAGTAACCCGTGGCACCATAAGCCAGCAACCATAGGAAGGGTACAGGAAGGGCCCCGATAGTCCGATAAGCTTCAGTTGGTTTATTTCACTAGGCTAACTGTCGGATTTATGGTGGATGCATCGAACTAGTGACAGTGAGATGGGTTAGTACCTGTTAAATCTTGAACATGGCAATATGTGGTAATATGTGGTGCTGGTAATTGTATTCACAGATTGAATAGTTGGCTCCGAGAAGAATACGTATCTTGTTTAAGGGTGAGCAGTTATGAACTATCACAACAACAGCTGCCGGTATCCTGGCTGAGTTGGCAGTCAAAGGACGAACCAAGTTCACATCTAATGCTTTTTTGTTTAGGAAACAACCATAAACAGCCCAATTTTTGCAGGTGCTTACAGTGTTACAGTACTTTCAAATTGTTAGGCCATGTTAGGTCAATTCCCATCAACCGGAATTTAATTTCTTGGCAGTCTCCTGATCTTTCGGTGCGCTTGTGGTGTGTAGTACTCCGAAGCATGTGGGAACTGATGCTGGTTGGGAAGGGGATGGGTATTAATTAGTATTCGTCGTATGTGCCAAAAACTCAGTTTTGACGACCTTGCAGTGATAGTTATGGCGTAACATGGTGTAACTATTAGAACAACTACCCCAGCGGCAAGGTTCAAACACTTCAGAGATCCAAATATTTCAAACGTTTTGGATTTCAGGCGCAGATTTATAAACCCTGTTTGATTAGGGGGATCACTCGGGTGACCCCGAAATAGTGATGGAGGTAGCATAGATTCCGAAACTGGTTTTCCGGGAAAACTTGTAGGAAACCCCAAAATTTGCCCTTGAACCACACCACTGAAAACCAAATTGCATGCCCCGAGCATTCTCTCTGCGGTCCTAAGGTTCCCAACAAGTTGACGGTTTCCTCAAATGAGGGTACGCCCAAATCATCCAAAATTAGACCATTTTATATAGTATTGAAATCCATGGTTTTGGGGTACCCCCATTTTAGGAAACCTCCTTGTGTCACCCCTTGTGTCACCCACACCCATACCCTTCGACATTGCTGGTGATGTTCCCATGTGCGGTTCAACAACCGCAGGTGTGAGGGTATCATGGGGATATGATGAGGATATTTTCCCAGAAATGGGAATGTGATTTTTGTTGGTGTACCCAGTGCATTTTTTGGGGTCCTCGGGCCCCTGGCATCCAAATTGTTCGTAAAGATGACCCAACCCTTGTGAGGGTTTCGGGCTGTGTGCATTCATATTTTGATATCTTGGAACTCATGAAATCATTGACATCCCCAACAGTGGATGGTTCCGAAATCGACCACCAAAAGGATGGTTGTAGTTTTTCTATATGTTGATATTAGTTGTACATATTCCATATATTCCATATATTCCTGAAAAATCATGGGATGTTTACCCTTTTTTTTTTTTACCACGTTTTACCACCGAAAAAAAGCCCTGCGGAGATTGGGCTCGAGCCAAAAGCCCAATTTTCGCGTCGTCTGAACGACGCTGGCACGCCATGACCTCGGCGGAGGTCAGACAGTCTGGGTATGGCTAGTGGTAACTATCCCATTTAACCATAGCTATTTGTAATATTAACTATTTATGGATAGTAACTATATGGATAGTAACTATATTAACTATCCCATTTGTAACTATGTTATAACAAATATAACCCATAGCTATCTGTAACTATCATATTTAATGAAATGGCCGAACTTTTCAGGTCCATTTGTTTTATCTGTTTTGCCCAGATAAATGCGATAATGTAATACATCCAATAATGAACCATCAAATATCAAGCAACAATTTAGGGCTCATACATGTAAACAATTATAAACATCATCCTTTAAATAGGATATATCCAATTTCATGAACCTCTATTGGGGACGGTTTAATAATTATTGGGTTTGCCCACTAGTTGGGATAGATCTATGTTTATTTTGACTTGATGACTTGTATAATTAACAATCAAATATATTCAAATATGTGGTGAGATACTTGATAAGGATGGTTGGTTGACGGAACAAATAGGGGGTTATACTGAGGATCTTCATAATTCATGAGCTTGGATTTTCCATGCTCACCAACCATCAATTTATGAGTTGTCTTCCATGTCGGATTTACTTCCACTGCTCGGAAGGTCAACTGTGTTTGTCTGAAAATAGGGCGCCCCGAAATCCACTAGCCAATCATTCCTGGTTGGTGGTGACTGGAACATGAAATTTATGAATTTCCATTCAGTTGGGAATGGAAAAATCATCCCAACTGACTTTCACTTCATCATTTTTCAGAGGGGAAGGTATACCACCAACCAGATTCATGTTCATTCATTTTCCTGAAAAGCATTGCCATTTGTGGGGTGTTGAATCTCCACTTTTAGGTACCAAAGCCAACTGGTTAGACTCAGGACTTTGGGGACCATGAACCTATGCAGCTGGCAAACAAAAACAAACCCTCAGAAGGTGGTGAAATCCTGACCTTGTGGGATAGTGCATCTTGGATTCATGTTGGTTTATCTTCCCAAATGTTTCTTGATATCATCATGATTTCTCCAACATGTCTTCAAATCCCATCCTCATAAACACTTATAAATCATGATAAATCATGATAAATCATGGTAATTTATGATAAATCATGAACTCATCCGAAAAACAAAACCCAAAAATTACTCCATGTTATCCCCATGTTATCCCCATGTTATCCCATGGTTTCACTGTCCCTCACTGTCAGGCGCCACCAGACTCGGCCACGGCGGAGGTGCCGGACTCGGCGCCGCAGGCCGGCGCGGATTCGGGCGCGGGGAGTGTGCGGAGGCCCAGGGGAGGCCCAGGGGAGGCCCAGAGGCCCAGGGATGGGATGGTGCTTGGAACATCGATCGATTTCGATTTCTATAGATATAGAATGATATAGATATAGAATGATATAGATTTGATATGTTTTTTTTTTGGTATACTGTATAGAGTTATTCAGAATATATTCAGATATCTGCTTTGTTCAAACATTTGACATACTTTTTGGGTGAGGATTGGATGATCATGCCAAAACGGACTCGGATTTGGGAATTATGGGGAATCACATTGCATTAGGCTTTAGATGGATGACCTAAGATCTGAAGTTTGAAGAACTTACACAAAGCATCAAAAACATATCACCCGGCAGGCCTCAGAAATGATGGATACCACCCGAACACTTACTGCCATCTTCAGGGCAACTTGAAGCTGGGATCCCGACAATTTACCCGCCTTGACTTGACAACAGAGGTTGCGTTGATTTTACTGTACTGAAAACAAAAGAATCAACATTTTTGACAAAAGAATCAACAATTACATCAGTTTTTCAACAAACAGAATCAAACATTGCACATTTGCATCAATATTTGCATACTTTGTACTCATTTGTTCCGAAAAGGTACAGACACAACAAGTTTGAGCTTGGCTGTAATGACTAAATGGAGTTGCCTGCCGAGTGGGTACTGTAGCAGTGTTTTTGCTAGAGAAGGGCTCGAGATGATTTGCCCCAGATTGGTGGATGGTTTTTATTGGTTTTTCGTAATGTGGTGCCATCAAGCTCCGCTATAGAAATTGGGATGGTCGTTTCTTGCTCCATTCATTCCTGGATTTCGAATGACGATGATTCGATGGATTTCTTGAATACCAATCCATGATATGAAGCCACTATACGACTGGTGCAGTTGAGGTTACAAATGGGTATTCATGGCTATAAACTATAAATTGACTATAAACCATCACAAGTTGTGTTAGAAAAAACCCTATGGTCCTATGGTTATATACGGTTCGGAGCGGTCAGGAGCGGTTCAGAGCTAAGGGTATCCATAATTCTCCAGAAATTCCCAATGAAATGGATGAAATGGGGAGCGAACACCGAAGCTACAAAGTGAAATGGGGAGTTTCTCAAGCACATGATAGATTTTATCCATTTTTATCCACTTACAACTGGAACTGCACCTCCAAGTACCCCATGTCCCCAGTAAATGACTAAGTTAGGGGTTGGTAAATGGCCCTTTTTGGGGATTTTTGAACAACATCACTTCACCTTTAAATATCTGTTGAGAATTACCCTCTGGTTATTTAACATAGCCATGGAAAATGGCCCACTTGTAGATGGTTTACCTGTTAAACATGGTGATTTTCCATGGCTATGTTAGCCATAACCAGAGGGTATATCATATTATATCCCCGTTGATGTTTAGGACATCTACCACCCACAACAAAGTTACTTAAGTGGCATCCCGAGGAGGTCATCGAGGTGAAGGAAGATGTGAAGGTCATCGATACGCTGCCCGGTTGCTACGATGGGATGATATGGGATGATGGGGGCCATGACAGCGACGGTGACAGTGAGAGGAAAAGGATAGGAATGAAGAATGATGCGGAATTATAATGAATTATATGGATTTATATGGGGAATTATGGGGAATCAACCATATATTATGGGGAATCAACCATATATTATGGGGAATTATATGGGGAATCAACTAGTCTATAACTAGTCAGTCTAACTAAGTAACTAGGATTTTCCTGGTGGCTAGATCTAATAGACGTAGTTTGCTTGGATGCATCCCACAGAATTACGATTTGGAGATTGCGAAATTGGAATGTGACAATATGATACAATATATTGTATTGTATTATCATATCTATCTATGCATTTAAAAACGTTATGAATATGAATGGAATATATGACAGTAGAGACAAGCCCCTGGCATCCTGGTTTAATATGGTGGGGTCGTTCATCCTTGGGTTCGCTATTTTGAGCCCGCATAAACCGTGGAGGTTGATTGATGGGTTGATAGGAATTGAAGGAACACGTGTTGTCCCACAACAGATAACTTTCCTTTAAGGGGTACCTTGCTAAAGTCGTGCCCAGATTAGTGGGAATCGTTGAAAATAGCTTGGGAGCACTTGATTTTCAAAAGTCGCATGAGTTTCGCGCTTTCCTGTATCATAATGTGTGCAGCAATATATCATGGATGGTAGCACGGTCCACAAATCCTTCATTTCCATCATTTCCTGTGATTTCTTGGTTCTATAGCACCCATTAGTGCTATCGGCTGCACAACAAATATGCTACGTTCTGCGACATGGTCAGCAGGGATGAAAACCAGGGATGAAACCCTGCGTTTTTCCAGGTTTTATTCCAGGTGCAAGGGATGGAAACCATGGACCAGGGTAGTTTGATGTGATTTTCAGCATTGAAGTTGAACCATCCGTTTTTTTTGTGTAATTCTCGGTATTAACATTATTACTCATTATTAACATTTACATGTTTTTAACTGTTTTTACCTATTTAATTGTTGTGGCAGGTGTTGTATCAAAGTATCCGTGTTTTGTGTCTTGGTTTCTATCAAATCCAGTTTTTTTTTTACGCACATCCCTTGCTCCAGTATCGTGGCACTCGCACCACCAACTCGAAACGGAGGAATGTATTGCATCAATGATTGGATTATATCAGCTATGTATACTGGTTGGTGGTTTGGAACATGAATGGATTATTTTCCATAAGATATGGGATGTCATCCTGACAAAATTGACGAACTCATATTTTTCAAGATGGTTAAAACCACCAGCCGGGTCAGCTATGTATAGCTATCTGCATATTTAGATATGCATTAATATGAGTTAGAGTCAAAATTGTTGAAAACCACTGTCGTCTCAGAAACACATTTGTCAGAGATGTGCACGAAACACTGTAAAGCAATAGGGCCCCCCACAAAAAGCGATAATCAATAATAGCAACTACTGAGATATAAAGGATCTTGACGGGAGCTCATATGTATCCCCATTTCAGGATGGTTGAACGATGTTAAACCACCATTTTAAGGGTTAAACGGTTAAACCAACCAGATAAACCCCTGACATATCCCCGAACAATATAGAATTGTGGGAAAAACATGTAACATCAATGTAAAATCCTATTCTAATATATATAATATATATATAATATACAACACAATATTACAATATAATATAACATAGTATAATATAATGTAAATATAAATGTAGATATACATATAGATATAAACATATATATATATATATATGTTGGAAATTGAAGCCTTTCTGAATCTCAGGCCTGAGACGGCCGAGGCCGGGAGGTGAAGTTCAGGATTTACTGCTGGGATTTATGGATGTGAACAACTGCCCTATAGGTGATATATAGGTGATATATAGGTGATTAGTGGAATTATACCACCTTTATGGATTCTAATCATAATTATACTTTGTGTTGATCCATCCAAAAAATATGATTGAAACACATGTTCCCTCGAAACACATGCTCCCTTGGTTTCAGAGTTTTTCCAAGTTTCCCTTGAAAGAAATGTTCGTTGAAGTCTGGCTCAAAATGTCTTGTCAGAATACCCCTTAGGAAGTTGCAGAGCTTATACTTCGTATGTATACAATGTGGTCTACGAGGATGTGAATAATGCTGTTCTTGTCAGTGTTGACTTATGCACAAGGTTCGCTACAGTATGGTTCGCTCATCAAGACATGCAGGGGGAGCAAGCAGCACCCCAATCGTTGAATGTCGCAATCAGATATGAACATGGGTCAAACATAGGGGTCAAAACATTTGTACCCTGGTGAACATCCCGATGCTCGGCCAGAATGGTCGTCATGCTGGAGTGTTGATTCGTGTTGATGCACAATTACAGAACTATGTGGATCAGATCGATGGTCTGGAATGTTCTATTGCGGGAGTATCATCTCCCAGTTGAAAGAATCTGATTATCGTGTTGCAGTCATGTCCCATCATGTCCCAAGGAGGTTTCATCATCAAGTTTTGCACCATGGTAATCATGATATGCTGCCTGGCGCCGTCTGGCTCAGCTCGGAGAATTTGGAGAGTTTGAAAATCGGGTCTTCGCGACTGTTTCCCAAAATAGAACATGGAGATGCCGAGGTGAGAGATTTGGTGAGGGGCTGGATCCTGGATGGTCCTGGTGGTCCTGGACGACCGATTCATTTCCCAAAAACCTCCATCTGGAATGTTGCCAAAAATTCTATATTCCTGGTTCTACATAGCCTTTTCAACCATTAATTCGAGGTCACTTAACCCTAAACAGGGTCACTTAATCGCCTCAAAAGGGTCACCTTTGAAGAAGCTAAGCACAGTACAGCAGGAATCCCATCTGGTTGGCTACAACTTATATTAACTTATGCTCAAGCTGACAGCGGATGTGCCCATTGCAACGTCGGACTTCACTGCTCCAGACATTTACGGCCCAACTTTGGTAGGCCCAGAATATGTTGTGTAAATCCCCCCATCTTAGGTTTTCCCAAAATCCACCTTTAAAATCGTCATTCTTAGCAGAAGTCCATCATTGGAGGGTCCCAATTGTTTTTTTTGTTAAGCCACAGTTATTTATATATTTCGGATCGAGTTCTGCCACGGTCAAGCCGGTTAGATGCACCTTGTGGGGGGTGATTATCCATATGTTCATAATAAGGATATATATATATATATATGTATATGTTATATGTTATATGTATATTATATATATATACATCATAGCTGTGCAATGTATAGCGAGGTCAGCCGAGGTGCGAGGGGACCTTTTGAATTTAACAAGGTGATTTAACTAAATTCGATCTGACGAGGTAGCTCCTTACATGTGAATTCCATATCAAATAAGGAGGAAAATCTTTTCAAAGCCTGGAAAGTGTTTTTTTTTTACTGCTATTAATTCAATCTTTGGAGCAGCAATTTTGCTCAGAGTTCCCACCAGCTAGCGATCCGCGTGGTTGTTGCTTCTCGTTCTCAAGCGTGGAAGACGGAGGCACTTGGTGATGAGACGTGGAAGGAAATCATGCGGCATGCGGTCCCATTCTTGAACAACTCCTTGCGGAAGCTGTGCATGGCAGAGCACGACGGCTGCACGAGGACATGCTTTGAAAAGGAGGCCGGTGCTGAAAAGATGAGTGAGGAAATCTTCTTGAGGCACAGCTTGCAAGACAGGGAATGGAAGTCGGGAAAAAACTTTTCGGAGGCTGACATTTTTTTTTGTGTTTTCAATTTGTTAGGAGCCCAAAAAACATTTCTTCATCGGCAAAGTGTTTGGATTCAAATAGGAGTCTATGGGATATTAATGGGCTCTCATGAGCTTATAGGGGATGGCAGTGGAAATTGCCAACCCAGGGAAAAACTTTGCTGATTAAGACATGTTTTTTTTTGGCCCGTAACAAACTGAAGACGCAACCAAAAAAAAAATCAGCCTCCGAAAAGTTTTTTCCCAACTTCCATTCCCTGTCTTGCAAGCTGTGCCTCAAGAAGATTTCCTCACTCATCTTTTCAGCACCGGCCTCCTTTTCAAAGCATGTCCTCGTGCAGCCGTCGTGCTCTGCCATGCACAGCTTCCGCAAGGAGTCGCCCAACGCGATCATGTGCTCCTGGTCGTCAGTCGGCCCTGCTCTGACATAGAATGCTCTGACGCATAGGACCGCATGATGTCCTTCCATGTCCTTCCACGTCTCATCACCCCCCTCTTCCACACATCGTCTTGAGAACGAGAAGCAACAACCACGCACATGGCTAGTAGCTGGTGGGAACTCTGAGCAAAAACATCAACAAAAACTTTACGAACGAGCGGTTAAATCCAAAATGCCGATTTAACGAGGTAGCTAAATTCACGAGGTAAGCGATTTAAACACGAGGTGACGAGATAAGATCTAAAGTACATTGGCCAGATCATATAGGGATTTACATGTTATTACATGTTATTCATATTTTACATATTTTGTATAAGAATCCGTATGAAACTGGATTGATGACCCTCCCTCAAGCACTCTATAATACTCTAACCCTATATTAAATTTGGAGGCATTCCCATGGCATGGGATGATCATACCATATTGCCATAGACCTTCTAAAGCTCGAGGCATTCCTTGAAGAACCTGGCTGCCCTGAACCTTGAACCCCCGCGACCTCGAAATCAAAGGACACGATTTGGAACGGTGATTTAAAAGTGAATGTCACCGGTGAGTGGTTTCACCATGTTTCACCTATTGGTTTGTCTGAAAATGGGGTACTGTAGCCTTAATGGGCATGAACTGGGTGGTGTCATGCAGCATCATCTACCCACCTGTTGATGAATCGATGTGAACCAAAAAAGGGATGTAACATGATGTACCCTCTGGTTATGACTAACATAGCTATTGAAAATGGCCATTTATAGCTGATTTAGCCATCAAAAATGGTGATTTTCCATAGCTATGTTTGTTTACCAGAGGGTAAACCAATGATGAGGTGGTGGTTTCAAGTGTTGTCCCTTTCTTTTGGGTGCTCAATCATCCAACCAACCGGCAACAGAAATGTGGCTTGATGCATCTTGGAGCCACAAGAAGAGGGACTAAAGCACGAAACATGATGGTAGGTGAGGGACTTACCTTCCAGCAATTCAATAGTGTAAACAATCAATTTCCTATTGATAGATGCTTTCCCTTCAAAGCCGATGGATTTTCTGGCAGATCTCCAAACTCCATGTTCGATTTCCCAAAAGATTAGTGTCATGGATCTTAGTGGAATATGATGATACGATGGAACATGACATATTTCAACTCCTTCAAACAGGACATTTCTGTCCCTTGAACATTTTAACTGGTTGGTGGTTTGGCACATTTTTTATTTTTCCATATACCCTCTGGTAAACTAACATAGCTATTGAAAATGGCCATTTATAGTGAGTTTTCCCATTAAAAATGGTGATTTTCCATTGCTATGTTAGTTTACCAGAGGGTATTGGGAATAGTAACCCGACCCCAACTGACTTTCATATTTTTCAGAGGGGTGGCTGCACTCAACCACCAACCAGCCATGTTTCAGCGGTTTTCGGAGGATCCCGGGCATTCCCTGCTGAAACGTGTCCCTTTCAACTCGCCGCAAGCAAGCCCAAGAACAAGTACCGTTTCCATAACGGCATCGGAAAGAGGATACTTGGATGTGCATCCTACTTGGTAGGTGGTTTATATAATATTTATATGATTATATATGTATTATATATATGTATATATGTATTATAACCCCATATCATATACAACAGATTGTTTTCTCGCCCATTGACTCAGTGGGCCCACACCCCCCAGTAGGACTTGTCCATGTTTGATGTCAAGCCATAGCAGATTTTAAGTGGCTATCACTTAGGGGAAGCCTTCGTTGGTTGCTCAACTCTTTGGATGAACTAGGGATATAATATATTTTTATATAATTTTATATAGGTTTATTTTAATAGCTGTATGATTACTTATAGATACACCAACTAGATATAGTTTAATCAACTAGGGTGTATTATCGGGCATATTCATATCGATTGGAATATACTCAGACCCTCTCAAGACCCTCCAAGTACCTCAAAACATGTGCTAATCAATATACGTACCCATTATATCCCATTATGACTTGGGACTTTTAGTCAGGTTTATGGCTACGGCTACGGAGGGTCTAAGTCTAGGTATATATCTAGATCTTCCAGCCATTTCCAGCGCCATGAAATCTCCAGGACTTTGTCCATGTTGCTGGCAGACTCCAGAGGAACTGCACCTCAGCCAAAAGGGGAGGGGGTTCTTACCATGCAGAACCGTCTCCCCAAGTGGTACAAAATTTTGAATATCAAATTGGGGAATTCCCTAGAGGCCATCGCTCACTCCAGTCCCGATTTTGATGTTACAATATGGACATGACTGTCATGACTGTCCCATTTCACACCACTTCTGTATATTTCTGTCCTTTTGCTCTTTCTGGCTTGTTTGGCATTCGTGTTGGTCGTTCTCCAAAGCAAAAGGGTCACAAACCGTTCCACCGTTCCACCTACCTATTTGATCCTATTTGGCGGTGTGGATGGTCCAGGTGTACAATGCACATGTAATCATCATATACTGTATATATATATACATACGTATAAATATTTTATTCTAATACTATACCTTAAATTTGATGCTCAATTATCAATCTACTATATAAAGCCATTTGGAGGTATCTCACCATTTTTGGACAAACCCATTTGCCCAAGTATCCCCATGTGATCCCCTAATCCCAGAAAATAGATTGAAAAGCCAGTTCATTAGCTAAGGTGCTCTACAAACAATCTAACTAG